AGGCAATCTTTACCAGCAAATACAACTACCAATCAACCGTGCTATGTTGTCGCTTTGATCACCTTCACTTCGGGCACAATCACGTCCGGAAGCTTGCTGTGCCAATCCCACGTGCACATCCGTCTCAGCCCATCATAATGCCAAAACGAGTTCACCACAAACCGCTCCTTCTTCGCATCCTTCCCAGCAATCCAGTTGTTGTGCAGAATCTTGCTCCCCTTTCTCCGACACGCCCCCATCACATCTGCCGCTTCCCAAAACCCGTGCACCGCGCCGTTAGGGTAAATCGCCCTGTCAAGGAAAATTGTCCTGAGCCCGTTCTTCCACACGCATTCTTCCTTCCCGGGAACGACGTTCTCTCCTTTCACACCGCAGAGAATGTCATAGAAGCTTGGCTGCTCGGATAGTTTAGTCGTGGCTGCATGTGCTGTGATCGCCTCAAACCCTTCAATCGTCTGTGCATCCGACCTCGCGAAATAAAACCCAGAGTTAATCCTCCGGATTCCAGTTCCAGGAAGGCTGGCGTTCGGCTCGTTGCTCTGGATCGGGAAGGTGCCAGGCCCGTACGACATGAGGTCCGGGAGAGGGTCGGAGAACCAGACGATATCGACGTCTGTCCAGAGGACTGAGTAGCCTGCCTTGAGCACGCGTAGCACGGCGCGGGACTTGAGCTTGGTGAACTGGCGGAAGCACTGGCTGCCGAAGGCGCAGTTCTTGGAGTCAATACCCTTGAGACCCACACTGACCTGGAGGAAGGTGAAGGGGGGAGGAACGGAAGGGGGAAATTGAAGGTCATTAGAGATTGGTGAACTGGTGGACGCACTGGCTGCAGAGACCAGTTCCCATTTATGGGAGAGGAAGAGGAGGGAGAAGGAAGAGGGGAGAGGGGAGACCGGAGGAGGGGGAGAAAATGTGAGGGTGTGGAGAGTGGGGAATGCAAGCTTCCTTGAAAAAGAGGTGCTGACCTCACTTGTTATAAGCCGAGTTGATTCCTCGCATGATTCGTTACTAGCCTGATTCGTTACAAGTGCTCACCTGCTCGTAGTACACAGCCAGCCCTTGCGTGAACGCGAAACGATACAAGTCCTCATCAAGCGCCGCGACCACGAGATTGTCCGCCAGGCCGAGGCCCCTCAGGCGGCACACGAAGCTCATCAGCATCTCCGCGTAGCCGAACGTAACGGCGACTAGGGTTACCACCTTGAGCCCGTTCGCCTCCCTCGCGACGCGCGGCAGCAGCTGCTCCATCGTGTGCGGCAGCCCAATGGAGGTTTTCGGCGAAGGGACGGCTGCGATTGAGTAATCCTCCTGCTTATCGACGGACACGGTTCCGCACTGCCACTTGTGGCCCGTCGCGTCGAGCTTCGGGTCCGATTGGCTGTTTTCGACGAAGTTGGAGAATTCGCACGTGCACGTGGCTGGGCGCAGGCGCTTCTGAAGACACATGTTGAAAACTGCAGGGAGGAGGCGAGGGGAGGGGGAGAAGGGGAGAGGGAGAGAGGGGGTTAGGGAAGAGAGGGTAAGGGGAAAGGGGGAAGTTGGAGAGCTCGCACGTCGTGGTGGGGCGGAATTGCTATGAAAGATTAGGGGAGCGGGGGACAGAGAATGTGGAGACGGATAATTAGGGGGTTGGTGGGGGATGGGGGGCGGAGGGTGGGAATGAGGGGAAGGGGCGATTCGTTCGCACATGCAACTGACCCGACACACACATTATTATCTTTTATTGCCACTTTACTCAGTTTTCGGTTGAAGTGTACACTCCATACAATCCCTCTGTTACTGTTTCTCCTCCCCGTCCCTTTTTTTCCTCCCCCTTCCCGCCTTCTCTCCATTCCCCTCTCCCCCACCAGCTGTCCCCCGAACCCGTCTTTTCCCCGCCCCCAAACTCTTTCCGCCTTCAACACCTGCTTTATCCAAACACCCCCGCCTTGACCCGCGCCATACCTGACGGTTCGTGACACGTGGCGAGCTTCCACGGCACGTGCAGCGCCGTGCCCTTCTGGTTGACGTACGATCCGTGCGTCTGCGCCATGTGGATGTTTGCGAAGAGCTCCCAGCTGCTATGCTTCCTGGTCGACCAAAAACTCTTTCCTAGAAGACCCTTCCCTTCCTTAGTAGCGTCGCCCTCCACCACGTGCGAGTACGAATGCGCCACGTGAATCGCCGTCACCGCGTCGCTCGCGTCGACGACTTGCCGCACGCCCGACGAGACCATCTCGTGCGTCAGCCAGTTGTCGTATTTGCCGCGTCCGAACATGAACGGCGGCATAATTCCCGCGAAAAGCGGAAGCGGGGAGTTGTTCCAAGACCAGAAGTCCACACCGCCATAGGTATGCAGCGACCCGGTTTCCCGGACGAGCTTCTTAATCTCCTTCTCGATCGCCGCGCTGCTGCGACCGCCGCCGCCGCCAGACGAAGCCCACATGGAAGGCTCGAACGAGTACGGGAAATCCTCTTTCACGTCCCACCGCGCTGACGTCATCACCCAGTGCGGGAAGCTGCGGTGAATCTTCTCAATGGCGACCATGACGTCATTGAGGAGAATAATATCGCCGTTGATGATCATGGAGAGATCCGTATCGGCCGCCTGCGCGCGCGCCACGATACTGTGAAACTGCGGCACGCCGTAGAAATTAGTGTCGATGGCGTCATCCACGGAAATGCGCGTCGGGAACTCCCGCGCGAGCGCGTGAAACGTCGTGTCGTTTCCGAGAAGGACGATCTTAGGAGCCGGAGTTAATCGCAGCCACGACAGCAGCGCGCGGCGCTGGTTATCCACGCTGCGGTCCTTAGGGTTCAGCACCGACTCGTACGGCTTCGGGGCGCAGAAGATCGTCAGCGATGGAGCAGCGCCATCTGCGGCACCTCTCGCGGCGCCACCTGCGCCGTCCCCGCCGCCGGAGCCTTTCGCCTCCTTGTTACGGTATAAGCTCTGACTCTTCTTGGCCAATAGGAGGCCTTCCTGAAGCTCGCGCCGCTTGTGCGTGTTGATGGATGGAGAGGCGACAACGATCGCGGCTAAGAACGTGAAGACAATTAGTAACCGAAGCTTCATGTTAAACGGGATTAAAGCGCCTTTAGGGCGCATATGCACGAATGTCTCTTGCTCCGAGCTGGAAATCGAACGATTACTAGGTTAACGGGTTGAGACCACGAGCGCTAATAACATCACCGCATGTGCTGTGTGGCCACAAGCGTTCTGCGTTCACGTATATAAACTAGGTCAACGAACTTGAGTGCTTCGTGAGATCAAAACACCTTTGGGACAAAATGGGGCTCCTGCAAGCAAGTTGTTTGTTCCTACATGTGCGCGCTGCTGCTGTTCAAGGAAACGGGGAGGGAGAAGCAGACAGGTTTGGTTGCAAGCGATGCCTGCGGGAGCACTAGAGCAAGGTGGGGCGGTGAGTGATGGGGCGGGGCGGGGATGGTTGGGGCACTGAGTCACGCATTTTTCTGATCGTGGTTTCCTGTGGTTTTGTACGTTTCGGCACGGTAACTTGCAGAAATTGCACAATACCTAATAAGATCGTAATACACCGCTGTAAACCGTTATTTATCTGAGGAAGAATGCGTGGGAGCGGGATTTCCCGTCATAGGTTTGGAAGGTGGGCGGGACTAGACTTCGGCTCGGGGGAGCCTGAACTGGGGAGGGGAGGAAAAGGCGGAACATTCGATTCGGCTCGAAACATGTGATGATGCATCCACATGTTGGTAACGTCGACGATCAGATGCTGTAGCGGTTGGTGAATTGTGAGCATTCGACGGTCGAGATGTATTCGTAACAGGTAGTTGGTATGCTTTCTGCCCACGGGCACACTGCATGGGGGAGGGGAGTTCGAACAAACAGGTGGGTGCAGAAGAGCGGTATCACACACCATGGTTGCCTTGTGCTCGATAGGTCAAATCGAAACGAAGGGGCAGCTAGAATCACGGAGGCTAGTTTCGGTCAGACAAAGAAATGGATTTGCTGGGGACTAATTGGGGGCAGCTGCCGGGCAGGTACTGTGCAGCTCTCCAGTTCTTGCCCTCCCCCTCCCCGCTCCGCCCCAACCGCCAACCTGAACCTTCAATTCGGCGGTACGTCCGACCGATTCGATCTGCAGAGGGGCGGACAGCCACCTCACGAGTAGAGGGGAACAACAAGGTCGGAATGAAACAGTTTCGGTTCGGCGGCGCGCTGATGCTGGTCAGGTCAGAATACCCGTGTCGCAGGGGCCAAGGAAAAAGTTTTCTCAAAGTTCGTTTGAGCTGGTTATGTATGGGCAAAATGGAGGGTGAATTTCAGGTCATCTGGGGCAACAAAATCGCAGATTCAGGACATGGTTTCTCGCAATTCGGTACAGATACAGGCGGGGTGAGTTGTTCATGCGCCAATGCATGACGGGCCGCAGGTAAATGGGCTGGCGGGCTCATAAAGCATCGCGCTATACTATAATTCGGCAAGATCAAACAAACGAGGTGGTGAGGCAAAGGCAACACCTAGTACCACCACCTTTGTCCCAACTCTTGACTGCTTGACTGATGATTGATTGATTTCCACAGCAAGCAATGAGGTTCAGAGATACAGAGAAAAACAGAGAAAATATGCTGTGACCAAGTGCAATACATCAGCAATTAGGACACGGTAATACTGACATTGCTCTCATCCTGGCGTGCATCTCTAGCCCTAGAAGGACTCAGAGCCTTCACCTTATCCCCATACTCCCTAGGCACCAGAAACACCAGGCAGTACGCAACACTAACAACACAAGCACCAATGATACTCCCAACCCAATAAATCCAATGGTTTGCCCACACCCCAGCCCAAACAGCAGCGCCAAAGGAGCGAGCTGGGTTCATTGAGGCCCCCGTTAGAGGAACACCCACTATGTGATCCACGAGCACGGCAAAACCAATCAGCATCGGAGCGAGGTGGGACGGACCCTTGTGGTCTACGGCAGTAGCAAAGACTGCGTAGACTAGTATAGCGGTGAGGATGATTTCAGTGAGCACGCCTTGCCCTATGGAGACCCCGGCACCGAGCACATGTGCACCAAGAGCGTCCTGCAGAGGAGTGACATGGATGAGAGAAAGAATTGGTGAAAGGGGAGGAGGGAAACGGGGAAGGGAGAGAAGGGGATGGGGGGATGGGGGGATTGGGATTGGGCAGAGGAAGGGAAGAGTTGTGCTGGGGTGTGGAGAGCGTGGGAAGCCCAGTGAAGGGAATGACTGGGGTGGTCAGAAAGGGACTTACATGTGTGCTGGCAGGTGTTATTGCCTTAAACCAGGCCGGCACCAAACACAGCGCCTATCAGCTGAGCTGCCACGTAGGCTGCTGCTGTGATGACGTCAACCAGCCCCACTGCCAGCATGCCAAGTGTGACAGCTGGATTGATGTGACCTCCTGAAATCCCGGATGCAGCTCCCACAGCAATCACTAGAGCGAGACCGTGTGCTATGCCTATGGAGAGTATGCGGGTTACATCCAGCCCCTGAACAAATTCACCTGAATTAAACAAAGAAGGGGGAAAAAGAAGACATGAATGCTACCTTTTGTTTTTTTTTGTGCAAGGTCCCCTTCTCATCAATAAAAAACAACTGGAAATGACCTACTTAAGGTAGGGCTACTTGAGACAGTCACTGATCCCACGCCAACGAAAACGAAGAACATGGATACAATCAGCTCCGCAGTGGCAGCACACGCCAGGTAAACGAGATTCGGACATGCGGCCATATGGAAAGAACTCACTGTAACTGCTTTTCACTTACTTGAGACGGCCACTGACCCCACGCCAACGAAGACGAAGAACATGGTTCCGATCAGCTCCGCAGAGGTAGCACACGCCAGGTGAACAAGGTTGGGCATGCGGGCTATATGGACAGAACTCACACAAGAGCTGCTTTTTACTCACTTGAGACAGCCACTGACCCCACGCCAACGAAGACGAAGAACATGGTTCCGACCAGCTCCGCCGTGGCGGCACACGCCAGGTGAACCAGGTTGGGCCGCTGAAGCCAATGCTTGAACTGAGGCATGATGCTGACGTCAGGTCGAATTGGAACAAATTACAGCAATCCGATCGCTGGGTCGGTCAGAAGCGCTTCGGCCGCAGGTACTGACTCAGACTCAACGGATCTGACTATGGAACCGGTTGAAGTTGATGTATCTTCTATACTGGATCGAAGAACAGCTGGAAGACCAGGGATTAAGCACGACTGATAATGGTCTGGACGAGAGATTTTACACTTCTAAAGCTGCAATGACGTTCGTCAGTCATCTCTGGTCACCGCGGCGGCACGTCCTTCTCAACCCCCCCCTCCCCCTTGCGCGTCGCGAGTGCGTGCTTTCCACGGTTCACCTCAAACAGGGCTGCCATCTGTGCGTGCCTTGCCATCGCGTCCCTCCCGGAACACGTCATTGTCTCCTGTTTCTCCGCCGCGGCTGAGAAACTACTTACGAAACTTCCGCCGCCGCGGCATGCGTCGTCAAAGACTCAAGTCAGCTTCGAGATACCCGATCCAACGCGCGACGATAAGATAGCTCAAGCATGGCAACGTCACAATTTTTTCAATGAGCGAGCACGTGAACCGTCGAGAAGATCTCCCAATCGGAGGTCGTCTCCTAACCGGAGGCTGTGAGACATCGAGCGCACGCGACGCGAGGCTTTGCCAACACGACAGCGACCCGTCACGCTGGACTATCCCACGCTTTTCCAGTCGACCTGAAAAAATCGAAAGTGACTGACATACGGTCCTTGGAAGATGCCATTCTTTTACACTCGACTCCAAGATTTGAAATGAAAGTGACTGCCACTCTGGGTCGTGCCATGTCATCACACCAAACCAAACCTGAACCTCCCCTGCTCTGCTGTGCAGCGAAGACTAGACAAGCGGGGACAAGCAGCCATGCTAGGATGCAACGGCAGAGAGTCAAGCGGTGCGGATGATTAGCCATGCGTGGGAACATGCAATAGGAAATGGATGGGTAAACGAGCTAGATAGTCACCACCAGCGTTCGGCTTCTCTACCTCAAGGCCAAGCGAACTCTCACAGCGGGGGAACTCGCACCCTCGATTTTGACGCCTGCCGTCAACGTCACGTCATGTCACCTCACGTCAACACAGGCTCTGTGTCGAACGCGCTCCTACACACTAGCACGGCAAATCAGAACACTCCATTCGATAAATCAATTCAGCAATTAATACTGGTACTCTTGGAAATATAACAGCAATTTGTGTAACATAATATCATATTTCAACAGATGTTCAGCACGTCCTTTTATTGAGGTGGAGGCTGGCTCTCCAAACGTTCTGGCTTCCCTTTTAGAGTTGGCTTCGCTTGCATTCGCAGCGGACCTCCCTGTCTCCTTCTAGCACCACCCGCTCTCCTCTGCACTGGCCGAGCCTGCCCCGCTCCCGAACCTGTCTGCCGAACCACAGGCCCGGATTGCCTCCACCACGTAGTCCACCCGAGCCTCTCCGTGGCCCCGAACCTCGCCTCCAAATCACTTGCCCCATCATTATCACTCTCCCTCTCCCTTCCACCCTCCTCCCACTCGTCTTCCTCCTCATCTAAACACCCTGCCACCAACACTGTATGCAGACTAGCCGATTCCGACTGCCCCGGAAAATCCGTGGTGAAATGCAATCCCCGGCTCTCTCTCCTCCTCAGGGCGCTATGCACAACGAGCGACGCGACGTTGATCAGATTCTCCATCTCGCACGTCTCCATCGAGACGGCGCCACGTGGCAGCAGCACGTTGGTCTCGAGGTCGGCGCGCCAGGTGGACGCCAGCGTGTCAATCTCCCTCTGGGCTATTCGGAGGCGGTCGGTGGATCGGACAATTCCCACGTAGCGCCACATGATAGCCTGGGAAGATGAACGGGAGGGGAGGGCAGAGACAAGAAGGGCGATACTTTTAGGGACGCATAAAGAGGCAATCGGTGAATAGAACAATCCTGACATAGCGCCACATGATCGCCAGGGAATTTGGGACAGGAAAAGGCAGGTAAGGGAAGGGCAGAGCAGGGCAGGGCAGGGCTCACCTTGAGCTGCTCCCTGTACTTCGCAGTCACTCCAGCAGCAGCAACCGCTCCTGAATCCCCCCTGCTCAACCCCACCACCTTCACCTCTTCCCCCTCCCCTTCCCCCTCCCCCTCCCACTCCTCTCCCCCCCACATTGCCCCGTCCATATCCCTCCCAGCAGGCAACCCTGCAAGCACGTGGTTCAGCGGTGCAGCTGCCACAGCATGTGCAATCGCCGGCTCTACTGCTCTCTGCGCAAACACCAGTGCTTCCAGCAGCGAATTCGACGCCAGGCGGTTCGCCCCATGCAGCCCCGTGCACGCCACTTCTCCCGCCGCCCACAACCCTCGGATCGAAGTCTCCCCAAACAGCCCCGTCTGGACCCCCCCGCACATGTAATGCGCGGCGGGAACCACAGGGATCGGATCCTTAGTGATATCCACCCCCCACCGCTTGCACTCGGCCGCGATGTTCGGGAAGTGCCGGAGGATCTCGTCCGTCGGTTTGTGGCTGATGTCGAGATAGACGAACAGATCGCCGCGACGCTTCAGCTGGTCGTCAATCGATCGGGCGACCACGTCCCGGGGGGCGAGCTCTGCCCGCGGATCGTAGTGAAGCATGAAGCGTTCTCCTGCTTGGTTGTACAGCAGCCCGCCTGCTCCCCGCACGGCTTCGGAAATGAGGAAGGAGTTGGGACGTGGGCCGGGCGGCTGGATGGGCAGACCGGCATCGGCTAGAGCCGTGGGATGGAACTGGATGAACCTGAGAGAGGGGGAAAGGGGAGATGAGAAAGGAGAGATGGGAAAGGGGAGATGGGAAAGGGGAGATGGGAAAGGGGAGATGAGAAAGGAGAGATGGGAAAGGGGAGATGGGAGAGGGGAGATGGGAAAGGGGAGATGGGAAAGGGGAGATGGGAAAGAGGAGATGGGAAAGGAGAGATGGGAAAGGGGAGATGGGAAAGGGGAGATGGGAAAGGGGAGATGGGAAAGGAGAGATGGGAAAGGGGAGATGGGAAAGGAGAGATGGGAAAGGGGAGATGGGAAAGGGGAGATGAGAGAGAGGGGAGTGAGTTCAGCCCGCGGGTCATAGTGCAACATGAAGCGCTCCCCTGCCTGGTTGTACCGCAGCCCGCCTGCCCCCCGCACGGCCTCGGAAATCAGGAATGAGTTGGGGCGCGGTCCCGGGGGCTGGATGGGCAGACCCGCGTCTGCCAGAGCGGTAGGATGGAACTGGATGGACCTGAGGAGGGAAAGGGGGGGTGGGACCAGGTGAGGGGGTCGAGATGAGGAATGCGATGGGGCGTGGGTCTGGGGGCTGGACGGGCAGACTGGCATCAGCTAGAGCCGTGGGATGGAACTGGATGAACCTGGGTGGGGAGGTACAGCTGCTGATCTCAGTGACCATTGACTGCACTGACTTCATTGACTTCATTTGTTGTTCTGACTCAAGAGTAGTCAGCATGGGAAGGGAAGGGGAAACGACAGCATGAAGTGGGGGGGGGGGGGGGGGGGAGGGGGAAGAAAAGGCAGGGGAAGTGCGAGGGGAGCGGGAGTGGGAGGGGAGAGGGAGTGGGAGGGGGAGGGGGAGGGGAAAAGTGGGGGTGGAGGGGAGGGAAGGGGAAATGACAGCATGAAGTGGCGGGGGAGGGGAGGGGGAAGAAAAGGCAGGGGAAGTGGGAGGGGAGCGGGAGTGGGAGGGGAGAGGGAGAGGGAGTGGGAGGGCAAGGGGGAGGGGAAAAGTGGGGGTGGAGGGGAGGGAAGGGGAAATGACAGCATGAAGTGGGGGGGTAGGGCAGGGGGAAGAAAAGGCAGGGGAAGTGGGAGGGGAGCGGGAGTGGGAGGGGAGAGGGAGTGGGAGGGGGAGGGGGAGGGGAAAAGTGGGGGTGGAGGAAAAAGGGGAGAGCAAGGGAGGTAATGGGGATGGGGGAGAAGAAGTGGGAAGGGGGAAGGGAAGAGGAAGGGGAGGCGGACTCACTCCATGTTGGAGATGACAGCGCCTGCACGCAGAGCCAGAGCCACACCGTCCCCAGTTGCCACCTGCACACACACATACACGTAGGCAAAACAAAAGGTGAGGCACTGCGACAATGACAAACGGACGAAACTTGAGATTCAAACACGGGCGAGACAAAACCTGCAACACAGAAGTGGGAAAGTAATGTATCCAACATGGCTTTGACCACACAGGTGCTGAGACACGATCAGATGACTTGGATCCGTGTGGGGGTTCTTCCAGGTTAAACATGTGCCCTTGCCATACATTTGTTTTTTATTATAATGAATAAGCCTCAATGAGTTGAGGAGCCTGAAAAAAAAATCCATACCGTGGGGTTGGTGGTGTTGGGGTACACGTGGCCTGCCCCGCCTGTAGCGAGCAGCGTGGATCCCGCTATAAAGCGGATGATCTGCCCCGTCTCCGTGTCCAGTGCCTCTACGCCGTAACACGTGCTCTGCCCGCCGTCCTCCTGCAGGGGTGGTGAAAGGGGGAGGGAAGGGAAGAGGGGAGCGTGGGGAAAGAGGGAAAGAGTGAGGATATTGATGCTCGAGCTTCCGCAAGCATAATCTGCCCCGTCTCTCTGCCCAATGCCTTCACGCCATAGCACGTGCTCTGCCCGCCGTCCTCCTGCAGAGGTGCAAGGGGGGGAGCGGGGGGTCACCACAGCACGTTCTCTACCCTGTCACCCTGTGGTTGCCTCTTTCTCGGCGCTACATTGGCCCTATCCCTAGTTAAAACGGCTTCCCAGAACCTCTGGAGTATGGACATTCAACCCTAAATTGCCGCCATTTTTAGTCAAAGTGGCGTCTCTGCTCCTCTGTACCCCACTCCAACCTCCCATTCCCCTCTCCACTCCCTCCCCTACCTCTCCTCGGCTCCACTCCTCCTCTTTAATCCTCGACACTCCTTCCTGCGCCTCGCTCACCTGTCGCGTAAGCAGATCGATCGCCATGTGGTGTTCAAACATGTCGATCCACTTCGTCTTCGAGTTCTGAGACATTTAAGCACTCGCCGCCACTCCTCTCCCCTTCTCTACGCTCTCTATTACTCTCTATTCTTCACTACTCCTCCCTACTTCTCTCTACTCCTCTCCACGCCTCTCACCTGTCGCGTCAGCAGGTCGATCGCCATGTGGTGTTCGAACATGTCGATCCGCTTCGTCTTCTGCGCCGCAGTCAGCAGCGCGCGCTGAATCTCCCGCCCGGTCACGTCTGCCGCGTGCACGATCCGCGAGTGCGAGTGCCCCCCCTCGCGCGCAAGCAGCAACCGCCCGTCGTCCCCGCGGTCGAAACTTGCGCCCATGCGCATCAGCTCGCGCACGCGCTCCGGCCCCTCGCGGCAAACCACCTCTACGACTTCCACGTCGTTCAGATACGCGCCCGCCACGATCGTATCCGAGATATGATTCTCGATCGAATCTAGCGGATCCAGGACCGCGCTCACGCCGCCCTGCGCGTAGTTCGTGCTGCCCTCCTGCGGCTCGGCTTTAGTCACCACCGCTACAGTGCCCTTCGCCGCGACGCCTAGCGCGAATCGGAGGCCGGCAATGCCGCTCCCGATAACCACATAGTCGTATAGCTTGGTCTCTGGTGAGGGAACTTCCGCCGCTTCCGCGCCTGCTTGCGCTTCTGCGTGCACACGCGTGCGGCCCGCCAGTGCTTCCGCTGAGATGGAAGGGCGCGCGGAAGCGGCACGCGGGGCGCTGAGAGCGTCCGCGAAAGGAGCCAGCCAGAGGCGCTTGGCTTGAAGTGGGACGGGAAGTGCTGACGTGACAACGGCTGCAGAACCGGAAGTGGCGCAGCTTGGCTGTAAGAGGAGGGCGAAGGGTATGGGAGAATGGGGGGAAGGGGGAGTGGGGAGGAAGAAGGGGGTGCGGAGAGGGAAGAAGAAAAGGGGGAACTTGGAGGTTGGCGAACGAAAAGGAAGAAGGTGAGAAGGGAGAACCAAGTGACGGTACATTCGTTCCTCCTCTTTTAAATCCATTAGGTGAAACTGACAGATGAAGGGTTATACGCACATCGCGTTCACTGGTACAGCCTTCATACAACATTTGATGACTAAGTGAACACATTGCGAGAGGGACACCCAGAAAGGGGTTCCGTTTCACACAATAATGTTGAGAATGATTTTTTTTGTCAAATGGCAGCGATAAACACGTACCCGTAAAGCCTCGTCATTGCGACGAGTGATCCGCCATTGCTGCGTCCTCCTTCCATGCTTGGACAGCCGGTCCTGGGCTGTTGCCTGAAAACAAAAAAAAAACGTTACAAAGGCCTTTTCAACATAAGGTCGTGAAACAAGCGTCCTTTTTGTCTCGTATTCCCACCGGGGAAAAGCGAAGATGCAACGGAGCGGAAAATATACTAGCAAAAGCTCGTCACGGTCCTCATATTGCGTGCTACATCCTTAGCGTTTATCATGAGTTATGGCCTGATGTATAAAGAGAGGAAAATATACTAGCGGAAGCTCGTAACCGTCCTGGTATAGTTAATGCTGGTCACTAACGGAGGATCATCGACGCAAAACCACCAAAAGCGCATGTCAGACAGAGATCACCGCGGATCTAAACTCTGCAAGCCACATTGACCAGCAAGCTAGCGTGCTACATGGAGATCCCCTTCTGCTTAATTTTGATCCCCTAGGCTAGCCCTGGACCTACTGTCCATAAAGCACGCACCTGGTGCAAGGAGCACACGGACGGACCGGTCGTTGCGAGAGCCTCCATGGTTTTCACGTGACCAGTCGTGGCTGCAAACTAGCTCAAAAAAGCTGGTCTACACCTACCTCACAGAGATGCCAGTATGCAGCAGTTTCGACGCCTGACCAGGAGAGTTCAAAGGAATGGAGGGAAGCTAAAAGTGAAGTATTTACGTGGCTGATACATGTAAACCCAAGCTGTCCTGAATCAGTCCCCAAGGAGCATGAAATGCAAGAGTGTGAAGCGGTTTGGAGGATGCGGAGATATATTGGGCTGGCGAGCCATTGGGCAGCCAGCCCGCAAGCCCCATGCAAGCTGAGCCAGTTGAGCCACACCACCAGCAGAAACCACATCTATAAGCGCGACACTTACAGAAGTGGAAGGGGTAAATCTCCGAAATATACGTTTGTTTCAAGTGTGGGTTTTAGCCAAGCAATGCCTCAAAGTTTCGCCACTGACTTGTGGTGTGGGTGACGTGTGGTGGTCGTTCAAGCGTTCCTGGCGGGGATTCGTCAGCTTCAGGGGAAGGTGGTTGTTGCAACCAGTTTTGAGGGATTACGTGGCGCATGGGCGAAGAACCAGAAGCTTCGGAAAGTGGGTTTGATAGCGGCGGCTTGTCGAAGCTTGTCCATCCGTCAGATCGTGGAAGCAGTGCGAAGCAGGGAGAGCGGCATGCTCGAGGACACGAGCAGGGCAGGCCTGAAGTAGAATTCATTATGCACTGGGCAGGTTTTCGTGGCGGTTGAGCAATCAGCAAACCGAATGGCCAGAGATCGGGCACCTAAATTCCTCCGGCTCTATGCGCTGGCCGCTCCTGATTCTTCGGAGAATGTAGATGCGCCGCAGCCAGTCAGTGAATCCAACGGGCCAGCAAACAGCACCCACCTGCGTTTCCCGCCATGGTTTGCATCTTATGGATGGAATCGTGCTGTATCTGTATCAAAGTTGAATATTCAGAATAACGTGAGGCGCCACAAAGTAAGCCCCGGTAGAGTGATAAGGAGTGGCTAGGTATACCACCAGTGCCCTCCTAACATAAACATCTTGCCATGAAATGTGAACAGACCAATGATGAGGGGCATTTTTCTTGCCCCTTGTTCCTTCTTTTCCCGTGATGTAACATGTAAATCATCCACCAGTAGACACGCTGTGCATAATTATGCAACACTTGATCTGTCACCTCATCTAGCCTTACCCTCGTCCTCCCTTACCCTTCCCCTTCCCTTTTGCCCCACCCTTCATCCTCTTCTTCCCCCCCTCAGCAACATCCGAATTCCCATCCCCACCACCACCCCTCTTCTTTCCTCCTCCCTGTGCCTTGATACTCAGCACACCGCTTCCTGGAAGTTTCCCCCCTCCTGCAGCGATCGCAGCCTCAAAGTCCTGATCTCGGCCGTCGATCGCAAACTCCTGCATCTGTCCAGGTGTCAGTGACGTCAGCAGGGTGGCTGTGCCAGGCTCTGCTGCCCCCTCCAGCCGGGTTTTGATCACCTTCTGTTACAGGGGAAACATTCATGGGATACAGAAATATATGAATATAACACGGTAACCAACCACAGCTGTAACTATTTTTTTTAATTGCATTTACATGGAAAAAGAATCAGGTGGTACACAATTTCATTTAGTGCTTGTATTTTTGGAAAGAATCGATTCCATCTCTCGACCAACTCACCTTGGCCTGATCTGCTGCCTCTGCGAGATCCTCATCCACTGACTGGGGGTGCGGACGCAGGTCCACCTGGTGGGGAGGGGAGAGGCGGAGAGAGGTGGGGGAGAGGCAACGGAGGGGGTGGAGGACCATGTCTTACTTGGTGCGCGCAGCAGCAGCACATAGCACATCATAAAGCAGGCACACAGTAATAGCAAAAGAGCAGCAGAGGAGTGCAACAGCACATGCATACCTCCTTGATCCTGGAAAGAGCAACCTGGTGCGTGCAGCAGCGGTGGCAGCAGCAGCAGGACACACAGGAGCAGCAGAGGATCGCACCACACACATACCTCCTTGATTCTGGGGAGAGCAGCCTCTATGGTGCGTGCAGCAGCGGCAGGAGGGAGCAGCAGCAGGAGCACCAGCAGCACCAGCAGCACCAGCAGCAGCAGCAGCAGCAGCAGCAGCAGCACATAACACATCATACAGCACACACATACCTCCTTGATCCTGGGAAGAGCAACCTCTATGTTGCTTGCAGCTGCAGCGTACAGCACACTGTGGATCTTCCGAACGGCCTTGTTGAAGAGAGCAAGCACTTGCGGCTGAGGGGTACAAAAACACAACTGTACCTCTTTGATCCGGGGAAGAGCAGCCTCTATGGTGCGTGCAGCAGCGGCGTACAGCACACTGTGGATCTTCCGGATGGCCTTGTTGAAGAGAGCGAGCACTTGCGTCCCGGGCAGCCGAAGGTTCGCCTGTTGGAGATTCAGGCAGAAGAAAGAGGGAGTGGGTGAATGGGAAGAAAGAAGAAGGCAAGAAGCCTGGATAGAAAACAAGAATCAACAGTGGGTGTGCTACAGCCAATATACGCTACAGCCGTACCTCTATGGTGGAGAGCTCGTGGTGCTGCAGACCGAAGGAGAGCAGAATGGCCGCTTGGGCATAGGAGAGAGAGGCGGGGATGAGACCCAGGAAGTAGAGGCGTGCGAGCGGGGGGATGAGCCAGCATGCTACAGCCACACACAGTGCTACAGCCGTACCTCAATGGTGGAGAGCTCGTGGTGCTGCAGACCGAAGGAGAGCAGAATGGCCGCTTGGGCATAGGAGAGCGATGCAGGGATGAGACCGAGGAAGTATAGGCGGGCGAGTGGGGGAATGAGGTCCATGATCTGATTGGGAGAGGAGAAGGGGGGGAGAGGAGGGGAAAAGCGGGAGAGCGAACAAGGGATGAGACTTAAGAAGTAGAGGCAGGCGAGAGGGGGGATGAGGTCCATGATCTGATTGGGGGAAAAGAAACCAGGGGGTGGTGACAGGGGGGGTTGGGAGGAGTGGGTACGGGGAAACTTGTATTGTTTTGCGTGAAGTGCAAGTGAAATTGCACGAGAGCAACTTGTAATGTCAGGTGTGCTCCCAATAAAGCATCACTACCAGGTGATAATCAACCAGGGTGTTGGCGTATGACTCGAGTCGCTTCATATCATACGGGGACAGCAGCGCATTTCAGAAGTGATACGAGCACAAACACAGCCCCATTACCAGGTGGTAGTCAACCAGGTTGTTGGTGTATGACTCGAGTCGCTTCATATCGTACGGCGACAGCAGCGCCGCCTTCCCTTCCATCAGCCCTGCCGGCACCACTGCCTCCCGTGCCTCTGCCTCTGCAAACTCAATCTGCGGGTCCAGAATGCTGGGGAATGGGGGGAATATGGATGGGGAGAGTGGGACCGCAGGCAGAGAGTGTGGAGTTTTGAGATGGCTCAAAGGCCGCCTTCCTTTCCCTCCTCTGCATCTGCGGACTCACTCTGCGGATCCAGAATGCTGGTGAACGGGGAGAGGGATGGGAAAAGGATGGAGGGGTGGGACGTAGTGCATTGAGTACATAGATGGCTCAAAACATGCCTTTCCTTTTGAGACGTCTCAAAAGACATAGACGGCTCAAAACATGCCTTTCCTTCCCTTCTTTTTTTGAGACGTCTTAAAACTAGTTCATAGATGGCTTAAAACATGCCTTTCCTTCCCTTCCATCAGCCCTGCCGGCACTGCTTCCTCCCGTGCCTCTGAGCACACTGTACTGTACTGAGAGGCAGAGGCTTAAAAGAAGAAGAAGAATAAGTAGAAGAAGAAAAAAACCCTGAGAGAGAAGAAAAAACCACCCCTAGAAAAGGAAAGAAGAAAGAAAGGTTGGATTGGGAGAACAGAGAAGAGAACCACCAGCGTGCAGTGCAGCGATTTGTTTAGAAGTCTCAAAGAATTTTCAAAGAATTCTTAAAAAAACCCTGCAAGGTTGGATTGGGAGAGCAGAGAAGAGAACAAAAAGCGTGTAGCGTACCTGAGGCAGAGGGCAGGCGGCAGGGGCCGGAAGGAGAACCCAAGGAGCGAGAGGAAGCGACGATGGAAGTCTGGCAAGGGGTGTGGGTTGGGGGACAGGGAAGTGGAGGCGAGGTGGAAAGAGGACATGAGACTCAGTCATTGGCTCCCTCACTCACACTCAAACATTCACTGCATGCACTCACTCACTCACCTTCACAACACACCAACCTTGTGAGAAGGAGCCAAGCCACGAATCCTTAGAGTCTGCCGGGCCCAAGTCATCGTTCCGGAGAGGCTTGAGCATGATGCACGTGTGCTCTCCTGTGATGTCGCTCTGTCATGGTGTGAGGGAAGAGGGGGGGGTGTGTGAGGGGTGAAGAGCATAAGAAGAGCTGCTGTGGCGGCATCATCTGACACACAACTGCTCATGATGCCGACGCCAGAAGTTGAAGAGCTGCTGCTGCAGCTCGTGACAAACAACACCCCCACGTAGTGCACCTGCTCCTCCCCATGGTGCTGTGTGATGCTGCTGGTGAAGAGCGGTGCAGTGCGGTGCTGTGCGGCTTCCAGGGGTTTGCCTGACGTAGAGAGGAACGAACGTCTGTCGGTGCCAGAAGTTGAAGAGCTGCTGCCCCAGCCCAAACGACAATCCCACGTAGTGCAGCTGCTCCTGCCGCACTTGCTGTGTGGTGGTGCAGGGGTGATGTGCAGCGCTGTGCTGTGTGATGCTGTGGGTTTCCCTTTCTTACCGGCGTTTGCCTGACGTAGAGAGGCACGAACTGCTGCCTCCGCCAGAAGTTGAAGAGCTGCTGCCCCAGCCCAAACGACACTCCCACGTAGTGCAGCTGCTCCTGCCGCCTCTCCCCCACTGGCTGTAGCAGCGGTGGCAGGCCTGACCGCGGCGCTAGCTGCTCTTCCAGCAATGATGCCTGGAAGAGAAGGAGATGAATTCAGGGAGGACGGAGGAGAAAGCAGTGAGCAGGCATGCCACGACAGCGCATGAGGCGTTCCAGGTCAGCGCGTGAGGCATTCCAGGTCAGCGCGTGAGGCATTTCAGGTCAGCACATACGGCATGCCAGGTCAGCACGTGAGGCATTCCAGGTCGGCACATGCAGCACGCCAGGTCAGCGCGTGCGGCGTTCCAGGAGAGAGCAGGGCACACGCAAAGATTCTGTTTGGAAGGAAAAAAAGCGACCGAATCTTCTGAACTGAAAGTTAGAGAGAGGTGCTGGTCGCGCAAAGAACGTGGGATGGGCAGCACGTGAGCTTACAGTGAGCTTACAGGATCATACCATCCGAGAAATCAAGCAATTAAAGCAACAATCCCCACCTACCAGTGCGAAAGCAAACCACTAATAATAATAATAATAATAATAATAATAATAATAATAATAATAATAATAATAGTAATAATAATAATAATAATAATAATAATAATAATAAATCATACCGATCCATTCACCCGAGCTTCTTGGACAGCCTTAGAGTGCCGCTTCCCGCCTTCCTCTTCCTCCTCGCTCTCCTCTTCACTATCCTCTCCCATGCTTGTCAACTGCCCCTCATAGTACCTGCAAGCACAAAAACAGGAGAGATATCAACGACACTGTTTTCACATAAAAACATAAGATAGTGTCTAGTGAGAGATATCAACGACACTTTACTCTTTATAGGTTCACACCCTCGACACAGACAAAGAGCCATAGGTTCATAGCCCGCTATGCATTCGAACAGGAAACATGAGTCAGTGACGAGCCTGAGATGGCCTGGATGCATCATCACCTGGCCAGCAGATCAACGGCTCTGGATCCGTATCCCGCGTGCATCAGATCGGGATGCACGGCGATCCGAACAACCCGAGCGCCAGAGAGGGAGGGAAACTCGGAGTCTTGAAATTGCTGTGAGAGCGTCCAGGGCAGCAGGTCTCCCGTGGGCTGATGCCCCTGAGAGAGACCCTTGAGGGCCGATGCCCTTGATATCTCTCCTTCCAAACACACCTGGTGCCGAGAGGCAAGAGGAGTGGAGAGAGGAAAAGAATGAGGGCAGTGAGCAGAGAGGGAGGGGAACTAGGAATCTAGAAACTGCTGGGAGAGCGTCCAGGGCAGCAGGTCGCCAGTGGGCTGATGCCCCTGAGAGAGACCCTTGAAGGCTGATGCTCTTGATATCCCTCCTTCCAAGCACACCTGGTGCAGGGAGGGGAAAGAGAAAGGAGAGGGAGGGGAACTAGGAATCTAGGAACTCCTGGGAGAGCGTCCAAGGCAGCAGGTCGCCCGTGGGCTGATGCCCCTGAGAGAGACCCTTGAGGGCTGATGCCCTTGAAATCTCTCCCTCCAAACACACCTGGTTCAGGGAGAGAGAGAGCAGGGAGGAGAGAGCAGAGAACAGAGAGCAGTGAGCGGTGGAGAGAGGAACTCAGAGTCTTGGGAGAGCGTCCAGGGCAGAAAATCGCCTGTGGGCTGATGTCCCTGTGAGAGGCCCTTCAATGCCGATGCCCTTGATATCTCCCCCTCTAGACACACCTGGTGCAATGGGGAGGGGGAAGAGAAGAGGTAGGAGAGAGCAGTGGAGAGAAAAAAGTGTAGGAAAAGCATTTCACAGGAGAAGCATTGCTTAGAGTTCAAGGTTGGCACAGGGGATTCCAGATTGTTTTTTGATACACTGGCAAAGCTCACCTGCACCTGCAGAGCACACACAGCACATCCCTCCCCACCCTCCCCACCTGCAGCACACAAATGCCTGACCCTCACCCACACTCCCCACCTCAAGGTTAACACTGGAATATTTCAGGCTACTTTCAAAATACACTGGCGCAGCTCACCTGCAGCACACACAGCACATCGGGTAGCGATGTCTGGGACTCGTCCACAGGACCTGCAAGGGCGGACGGGTGGAAGGTTGGAAGGGGGGAAGGGGGTGCAAGGGCAGAACGGGGGGAAGGGCGGAAGAGGGTTAAGCATGCAAGGGCGGAAGGGAAACGGGCGGAAGAACGGAAAGGGGTGCAAGAGCGGAAGGGTGGAAGGGTGAAAGGCGGAAGGGGGGAAGGGCGCAAGGGTGGAAAAGAAAAGGGGTGCAAGGGTGGAAGGGCAGAAGGGCGAAAGGGGGGAAGGGGGAAAAGGTTCTTTCTCATTCGTATGCAAGTATCGAGTGAGACAATTTCTTTCTCACATTATGTGCTGGCGGCAGGGACATACCGAGGAGCACGAACAGGTGGTGGGCTGGTGCGTCTGACATGAGCTGCAGGTCGTTGGGCGTGTTCTTATAGTGAGAGGACACATATAGTGCCATCATTCTCTGTCACATGGCCAGAGTGAAAAACCCAGGGAGAAAGAAAGCACAAGGAGGGTCAGAGGAGTTAGCAACTTAGCATGTGAACCAAGCAGATTAGATCATCATAGGAGGTGTGCGAGGAAAAGGGATGACAGGGAAACCTGACTGTTCTAAAGGCAAGAGAGAGTTGGAAAGGAATGGAAGAGCTCTGACGCAGAATGGAGTGAATGGAAGAGCTCTGACGCAGAATGGAGTGAATGGAAGAGCTCTGACGCAGAATCTGTTTTTTGTTTATTCTCAAAAAACAGACTCAGTGAATGGAAGAGCTCTGGCAACTGTGGCGAACATGGTGAGTAATAGTATGGCGAGTGTGGTGTGGGGGAGAGACGACCACGACAAGAGACGCACCTGGAGGAAGAGCTCTGAGGCGGAGTGGAAGGAGAAGAGCGTGTCGCGGTTGACGTAGAACAGCTCACACTCGTCTGGGTGCGGCATGCTGGGGGAGAACAGGGTAACGTGGAGGGGAGGCACGGTTGAGTGGCGGGAAAGGGGAGCAGAGGAGCAGCAAGGAGTGGTAGGAGAAGAGCGTGTCTCCGTTGACGTAGAATAGCTCACACTCGTCTGGGTGCGGCATGCTGGGGGAGAACAGGGTAACGTGGAGGGGAGGCACGGTTGAGTGGCGGGAAAGGGGAGCAGAGGAGCAGCAAGGAGTGGTAGGAGAAGAGCGTGTCTCCGTTGACGTAGAATAGCTCACACTCGTCTGGGTGCGGCATGCTGGCAGTGTCGGGTGAGTGGGGGTAAAGGGAGAGGCAATGTGGAAAAGGGAGTGGAGAGTGAAAGGCAAAGAGCGTGTCTCAGTTGACATAGAACAGCTCACACTCGTCTGGGTGCGGCATGCTGCGAGAAAACAGTGCGCATGTGGGAAGGGCAACGGTGGGGAAAGGAAGGGGGGGGGTGGAAGGAGAGCAGAGGCTTGTGGGACTGCGATCCAGACATAGCTCAGTGACATAGCTCAGTGACATAGCTCAGTGACATAGCTCAGACATAGCTGAGTCGACTCAAAAATCGCCTCATCACACGAAGGAGAGCAGAGGCTTGTGGGACTGCAGGTCTGTAACTCACCAAGCCTAAGTTCTAACCAAGCCCGTGGATTTCCAAGACTGTGTTTGTGAACCAGAGTCTTACCGAGCCTAGCACCTACCGAGCCTGCAGCTTGGGCACATGCGAGGTGGCGTCGAGGCACAGCAGGTGGATCAACCATCGCTCAAGGGCCCTCCGCACCCAAATCAGCAGGTGGATCAACCAAATCATCTCCTGTAGCTCCACCTCCCTCAGCACCCGCTTTAATACAACCCCCCAATTACCGCACCTTCCCGAACCTGAGTCTTACCGTGCCTGTAGCTTGGGTACATGGGAGGTGGCATCGAGGCACAGCAGGTGGTTCAACCATTTCTCCACAGGGTCCCCATCCGCATACCGGATCGGCTCCTGTAGCTCCACCTCCCTCAGCACCCGCACACTCACCCCCTGTTACCACCCCTTCAAAGCCTGTGCTTCCTGAACATGTGCTTTCAAGGGGCTGTGACTTACCGCGCCTGCAGCTTGGGTACATGGGAGGTGGCATCGAGGCACAGCAGGTGGTTCAACCATTTCTCCACAGGGTCCCCATCCGCATACCGGATCGGCTCCTGTAGCTCCACCTCCCTCAGAACCCGCACCGACACTCCTCCCCCGCCACCACTGCCACCAGCACCATCAGCGGTTGCAGCAGCACCAGCAGCACCAGCAGCGGCGGCTCCTTTGGATTGCTCCCTGAGTTGCTGAATGAGCTTCAGGGAGAGGGACCGCCCCGTGCCTTCGTAACTGTAGGGAAAGGGGGAAGTATGGGGGAGGGTGGAGGGGGGGAGAGGAAGGTAAGATAAGGAGCGGCTCCTTTGGATTGCTCTCTGAGCTGCTGGATGAGCTTCAAGGAAAGGGACTGCTCTGTCCGTGCCTTTGTAGCTGTTGGGGAGGTGGCGAACAAGGTTGGGAAAGGGGACTTATGAGGCAGGCAGGTTGACCACGGTAATTGGCAGCAGCACCGCCAGTAGCGGCAGCTCCTTTGGATTGCTCTCTGAGTTGCTGAATGAGCTTGAGAGAGAGGGACCGCCCCGTGCCTTCGTAGCTGTAGGTGGTGGGGAGAGGTGGGGGAGGAGAGAGGGGATGGCAGCAGCGGTGGTGGCTTCCTTGGATTGCTCTCTGAGTTGCTGAATGAGCTTGAGGGAGAGGAACCGCCCCGTGCCTTCGTAACTGTAGGGGGGGAGGGGAGGGGGATGTGGGGGGAGGTGAACATCGAGGTTGGGAACAGGGAATCTTCTTGAGGCGCCTCAACGTTCACGCGTGCATTCTTGAGGCGTCTAAAGAATGGAGGTTGGGAACAGGGACTCTTCTTGAGGCACCTCGACGTTCACGCGTGCTCCCTGAGCTGACTTTTGAGTCGACTCAAAAGTCACCGCGTGCTCCCTGAGCTGCTAAATGAGCCTGGCTACCCCATTACCATCACATACCCCTCACAGGCTAACCCATTAAAAGCCCATACCCGTTAACAGCACATACCCGTTAACAGCACATACCCGTTAACAGCACATACCCGTTAACAGCACATACCCGTTAACAGCACATACCCGTTAACAGCACAAACCTACTGGCAGCACACATACCCGTTCACAGTGGAGCCCATAAACACCAAGTAGGGCCCCAGCAGCGCCTTGACCATGGGCAGGGGGATGGCTGCTGCCTCGTCGATCACGAGCAGCTCTGCCTGCTGCACTCGCTCCGCGTGCTGTGGCATCACGTACTGGTGAGGAGCGAGGGGAGGCAGGGGTAAGGGATGCAGGCATGCAGGAGTGAGGAACAGGAAAGAGGGGGACGATGAGCAGAGGGGGATGGCCGTTGCCTCGTCGATCACCAGCAGCTCTGCCTGCTGCACTCGCTCTGTGTGCTGGGGCATCACGTACTGCATAGGGGGTGGAAGGGGAGAGGGGTGAGAAAGGGGAAGGGGGGGAAATGGGTAGAAGGTGAGCGGAAAAGGCAGGCAAGTAGGCGAGGGACAGTCGACTCAGAAGTCATGAGGGGGAGAACCAGGGCAGCAGCCGTCAGGTGCATCGCTAGCTGGCCCATGTGAATTCTGAGAACTCTCAAGATTCGCTCAAAAGAACTCCCAAAACTCACTCTCTGTCCCGCACCTGCATAACACCCCACAACCTTTCACCCTGTCCTGCTCCCCACACCTGGATGGTCTGGCGGTGCTGGTGAAACACGTTCACTCGCACGATGGCGCGGTTGAAGGCGGGGTTGGTGCTCTCCACCAGCTCGTAGTCGATGTGCTCCTGCCGTGGGGTTCACAGGGGTGCACAGGGGTTCACAGGGGTTGGAGTGTGGGCGAACAGCGGGTGAATATAAAGGAGGGAAAGGAGCGGTGGCTAAGGGAGTTATTTTGAGACGTCTCAAAATAACACTTTAATCACGGGGCTAAGGGGGGCCGTTGAAGGCCAGAGTTGGCGCTCTCCACGCGCTCATAGTCCAAAGCAAGAGCTGAGCTTGCTAGGCTGAAATAGCTTATAGCAGCGACCTCTTTGAAAGAAACATGCCTTGCGACTTACTTTGTACCCGATGGCATCAAAGCCCTTGAACACAAACTCAAACAGCGTCTTCAGATTCTCCGGACTCGGCGCCGTCACAAATATGTTGGAGTAGCTGCATCGGGGGGGGGGGGGGGGGGGGGTGTTGGAGGGAGGGAGAGAGGGGGAGAAAGGGGAGGAAGGGGAGAATGTGGTATCGGAGGGTGTGAGGGAAGTGGCCACCACTACCGTACCCCTACCAGAGCCACAGCACCCCTCCCTTGATTCATACCACCCACCTCACCCTACTCGTTTCTCCACCCCAAAGCCACCACCCACTCACCCCGGAGCCACGGCCCCAGCCACAGCCACTCCCAGCGCATCAGTAATTGCAACTGTCGATGCTGTCTCTGAGAAGCCACAGCCACGGATTTCCCTCTTCCTCTGGCAGCAGTAATCGCAACCGTCAATCTCAGAGTCTTCTCGGAGACAGCATCGAGCGACGTCACCACCGCCTTGGCCTGGTCCAGCGTGCGACACGCGTGTATAAGGGAAAACACCACCACACCCACCCTCAGCACCCACCCACAGCACCCACCCATCCCTCTGCCCTAACTACCCAAATCACCATCCCTTCACTCACCCGAGAGCCACAGCACCAGCCACAGCCACTCCTAGCGCGGCTGACTTCCCCCGGCCTCTAGCAGCAGTGATCGCAACCGTCGATCTCAGAGTCTTCTCGGAGACGGCATCAAGAAACGTCACCACCGCCTTAGCTTGGTCCAACGTTCGACACGTTGCCACCAGCGCCCCCACGGGCTGAGTGTCGGCTAGCGACTCCTTGAGCTCCTTCAACTCCCTGTCTGACTCTGACTCCACTGCCTCGCCCTGAGACGGATAGACAGGGCGTATGGGGTTGGGGGTGTATGGCGGAAGGCATGGGCTCGTGACTCACGGCCCCACTGCCTTGGCTTGGTCCAGCGTGCGACACGTTGCCACCAGCGCCCCCACCGGCTGTGTGTCGGCTAGCGACTCCTTGAGTTCTTTCAACTCCCTGCCAGACTCTGACTCCACTGCCTCGCCCTGCGGACGGACGGGGAAATGGGGTTGGGGGGGGGTGGAAAGGAGGGAACGGCATGGGCTCGTGACGCATAGCACCACGGCTTTGGCCTGGTCCAGCGTGCGACACGTTGCCACCAGCGCCCCCACCAGCTGTGTGTCTGCTAGCGACTCCTTGAGCTCCTTCAACTCGTGGTCCGATTCGGATTCCACTGCCTCGCCCTGGGGAGACATACAGGGGCATTGGGAGAATCCGAGAGGGGTTAGGGGCACGGGCTGGTCTTTTAGACTGCAGCTCGCCTTATCAAATGGCTGATTCCACAGCTTCGCCCTGGGGAGACGAGACAGACAGGGGTTTGGCCCTCACCTCTGTGAGGGGCGAGGGCTGCAAGTGCCTCAGATGGGAGGAGAGAGGCAGAATGTTGAGCTCATTGTCCATCACACAGCACGTGGGGCAGCTGTTGGCAGTGACTGACATCTGTGAGAGGGCACTGACTGCTTTTTCGCACCTCCGTGAGGGGCGAGGGTTGGTTGGAGGTGCCTCATGTGGGAAGACAAGGGCAGGATGTTGACCTCATCGTCCATCACACAGCACGTGGGGCAGCTGTTGGCACTGACTGACATTTGTGAGAGGGGAGTCACTGACCTGAGTGAGGAAAGCACGGATAAGGACTGACCTGTGTCACACGGCGCTGACTGACCTGACCCTTACCTCGGTAAGGGCCGAAGGTTGGAGGTGCCTCATGTGGGAGGAGAGAGGCAGAATGTTGAGCTCATCGTCCATCACACAGCACGTGGGGCAGGAGGCGAGGGAGAGGATGAAGCGCTCGTTGAATCGCCCCACCACGTCCCCGTGTGACTCCGTGCGGTACCGTGCGTGCACGTCCTGAGGGTAAAATGCAGCGAGCACGTGAGGGAATAGGCAAGGCAGAGGTTACTGGAGACCACGTGGGGCAGGAGGCAAGGGAGAGGATGAAGCGCTCGTTGAATCGCCCCACCACGTTGCCGTGGGACTCCGTGCGATACCGTGCGTGCACGTCCTGAGGGTAAAATGCAGCGAGCAAGTGAGTAAGTGAGGAGGTGAGCACGGGGGCGAGGGAGAGAATGAAGCGCTCCACCGCATCCCCGTGCGACTCGGTGCGGTAACACGCATGCACGTCCTGATGTGGGGGGAGGGGGGGGGGGGAAGTAGGAAAGGGTAGATGGAAGTGTGGGACAGTGCAGGAGGCGAGGGAGAGAAGAAAGCGCTCGTTGAAACGCCCCACCACGTCCCCATGGGACTCCGTTCTGTAGCACGCATGCACATCCTGATATGGGGGGGAGGAGAGGCAGGCAAAAGAGATGGGGGTGAGGGAGTGAGTGAGTGAGTGAGTGGGTGCCATAGCATACAATCATGAGGGAATGACTGCACAAGTGAGTGCAGGAGTGGGAGGGCAGGCAGGAAGCACAGCCTACCATGGCGAGGGTGATGCAGCGAGAGAGACGGTCTTTGCTATAGCAGGGGTGTGAGTGATGGGGTAAGTGAGGGAGTGAGTGAGGGAGTGGGAGGGCCGCAAGGTAGAAGCAGGGCGTACGTACCATGACGAGGGTGAAGAGGCAGGAGAGCGAGGTGCGGGAGGAGAGCAGCAGCAGAGCAGCTGAGAGTGAGTAATAAAGGGAGCGGCAGAGCAGCTGAGAGTGAGTAATAAAGGGAGCGGCAGAGCAGCTGAGAGTGAGTAATAAAGGGAGCGGCAGAGCAGCTGAGAGTGAGTAATAAAGGGAGCAGCAGTGCAACAGAAGCACAGCGTACAGCGCAGATGGCCTACCATGGCGAGGGCGAAGAGGCGGGAGAGGGAGGTGAGGGAGGAGAGCAGCAGCACGATGATGCCCCCGCCCTCCACTGTCTCTATCGTGCGCGCCAGCAGGTTGGGTGTCAGCGCCTCAAAATCCTGTCGTGCAGGTGAGAGCAGAGAGGGGCAGGGAAGCAGTGCTCATGATTGAGAGAGAGATGACAGGCCGGCATTTGCAACCCCAGTGGCCCTCCACCGTCTCGATCGTGCGCGTGAGCAGGCAGACTTTTGAGGCGCCTCAAAAGTCGTCCACCGTCTCGATCTTGCGCGCCAGCGTTTTGAGACGGCTCGATTGAGTCGCCCTCCACCGTCTCGATCGTGCGCATGAGCAGCAGGCGCGCCAGCGCCTCATATGAGTCGTGTTTTGAGTTGACTCAAAACCCGTCTCGATCGTGCGCGTGAGCAGCAGGCGCACCCGCACCAGCGCCTCATATGCCGACAATCTGAAATGTCGCTCTCCACCTCCCAGTTTTGAGGCGCCTCAATCAAAAGTCGTCCACCGTCTCGATCGTGCGCGTGAGCGCCTCAAAGTCCCGTCGTGGGGGAGAAAAGGTAGAGGCAGGCAGGGCATAGAATACAGAAGATTTTATTAGCTATGACAAGGAGAGCAAAGGGGTCCTCCTCAAGCTTTGGTGGGGGGGAGGCGACTGTTGAGTCGACTCAAATGGTAGAGGCAGGCAAGGCGTAGAATACAGAAAGGTTTATTAGCTATGACGAGGAGAGGAGAGCAAAGGGGTCCTCCTCAAGCTTTGGTGGGGGAGAGGCGGGGAGGCAAAAACACATGCCATGCCATGCACACAGCCACACCACATACATACCTGCAGCACGCACATGCCGAAGGTGTTCCCTAGGATCTTGTGCGTCTCAGCATAGTAGCAGTAGCGGATGGCCGTAGATGCCATGAAGAGAGCGAAGGGGTCCTCCTTTTCATGTCAGGGTCCAATCAACCTGTTCTTGAGTCGGCTCACAGCCTAATACACAGAGACACGTACCTGCAAGACGCACATGCCGAATGTGTTTCCGAGAATCTTGTGCGTCTCAGCATAGTAGCAGTAGCGGATGGCAGTAGATGCCATGAAGAGGGCAAAGGGGTCCTCCTTCTCGGGGTCCAGCAGCCCCCTCTGCATCATCTTCTTCATCTGCCTCATCCGCTTCTTGCGGTTGCTGTGAAGGGAGGGGAAGGGAGAGGGGAAGCGGGGGACAAGGGAGAAGGGGAAAGGGGAACAAGGGAGTGAGCAGGACAACAGCGGTCCCAGCAGGCCCCTCTGCATCATCTTCTTCATCTGCCTCATCCGTTTCTTGTGGTTGCTGGGGATTGAGAAATGGAAGGGAGGGGAAGCGGAGCAAGCAGTAAGGGGAAAGACGAGCAGCCCCCTCTGCGTCATCTTCTTCATCTGCCTCATGCGCTTCTTGCGGTTGCTGTGGATCAAATCAGGGAATGGTTGGGAAGGGGAACAAGAGACAATGAGAAAGACGGCATTGTTGTAGCACAAACCCTCAACCCTCCAAAACCCCCGAACCTCAGGGCCCTTACAGTACCTGCTGAGAAAGAGGTGGTTCTTGTAGCACCAGAGCACGTTGGGCCTCGCCTTGACCACGGCCTCGGATTTTGAGTAGACTCAACCCTCCAGAACTCCCACCACTGCCTAACCCCTTACACACCTGCTGAGAAAGAGGTCGTTCTTGTAGCACCAGAGCACGTTGGGCCTCGCCTTGACCACGGCCTTGGAGAGCATGTAGTGGAGATTCACCACCTGTTACAGTCACATCGGGTTGCAGTAGTATCAGGATACAGTCACATTGGTTACAGTGTGGTCGTACCGGGTTCCCCACTTGTCGCATTACAGTCACACCCCGCTGATACGCGTATCTGATGAGCACACGGCCAAGCTGGATTCAAAGTTCTAAGGAGATTCAGGATGGTTTTTATGACCACGCGGCTTAGGGTTCAAGAGCTTGTCAGGATGGATGTTTCAGCTTTCCTAGGGTTTTAAGGAAGCTTTATTGCACGACGCGCAAGGGGTGTGGGAAGTACGGCGTGATTGGAAACGCAACGCCATCACTCAGACCAGAAGCATGAAATCTGAAACCTGAGGCGCCTTAAGAAAGCGACAATAATGCCACTTGCTCTTGTCCCGTGTCCCCCACGATCACGAACGTGGACTGCTGCCGCGACTAAGTTCTCTCCCTACCTTTGACTAGTTTTGACTATGATAAAATCACGACTAATTTCTCGTCCCAATCTCTCACCTGCTCGCGTCCCTTGTCCCCCACGATCACGAACATGGACCGTTGCCGTGACTTGACACCATTCTCGACGAGGGTTCGAATTCTCGCGTCCACCTTTTTCCTCATCGCCGCGACCGCTCGGTTGACACTCCAAAAACTCTTTAAACAAAAACAAAAACCTCTCACAAAAAAGCTCCTACGAGAATCTGCGCGAAATAGTCTCGCAAACACTCTCCTTATCCAGTCAAAGTTCCTGTTAAGTCTCCTGATAAATTCAAGAGCAGAAAGAATGTGAGACGTCTAGCCTTGACAGGCTGCTCTCCCCCTTCCGCAACGGTCCTTTTTGCACCCGAGCTCCGCTATTGCTGCTGTTGTCCTCTGATTCCTGAACTAGGATAGCTTTCTGTCTCCTCTTTCGTTGGATTGGAGTACTGCGCTAGTTTCCCGCTGTGGCTTGTGCAAACAGTGTGAAATTCCATTAGCGAATGTTACACGCTATGCATGGGTAGTTCATATAGTAGCAGGTAGAAGTGAGAAAGCGATATAAATTAAACGCTTTTATGACATGAAGTCTTACAGGGTTTGTCTACACCCAGCAAATCAACACCTGTTTGATCTGGTGGCGCTTCTTATTGAGAAATTTGTAGCTTTTGAAAGTCAGAAAAACATAACCTCTCTTCTTTTTGCTGCGGGGAGGCCGGAAGTGTGAACGTCTGGCGCATGCCCTCCGAACGACAGAAGGCCCTCAGGAGGTCGGAGGAAAACTCCCCACCTCTGTCCGAGTGCAGACGCAGAACAGGAAGGTCTGAGCCGAAACTCTCACTGAGCTGGCGACGAGCACCGCGGATCCAGTCGATCAACACCTCAGGAACCTCACCCTTGCTGCGCAAGGGGAAGACTGTGGTGTAACGCGAGTAGTCATCAACGACCAGGAGGAAGTAGCGCTCGTGACCCTGTCCACGGACGCGGGCTGGGCCCCACACGTCCATGTGAAGAGTCTGCAGAGGAGCCTCAGTCGGAGGAAACGAGGAGGAGTGAGGGGCGGCGCGCTGCCGGCCCTCGACACAAGGAACACAGGTGGGGGCAGGCCCCGGAGGAAGGGGAGGGAGGGACCTGGGTAGACCCGAGACAAGGGCACGGGAGGCCATACCTCGAAGACGAGGCAGGGAGGGGTGACCAAGGCGGTGGTGCCAAAAGAGAGTCTCGTGTGCCAGAGGACGACACGAGCAGGGGGCAGACGCAGGACTAGACCTGGACGCGGCAGCAAACACCTGACTGGACGCAGCTACCTGACCAGACGCAGAGACCGGAGGAGGCGCAGTAGTCAGTGTGTACAGACTCGACCCTGGCCGACGGGTGAACGTGGCCAGGTGGCGGCCCGTCCGAGAGCAAGTGCAGTGGGTCACACGCTGACCTCCAGTGGTGAACTGGTCAACCCACGCGTCCTGGAGGTCAGCTCCACTCACCAGGTTCGTAGAGAACGAGGGGAGGTGGAGTCCCGACAGCAAGCCCGACGGGGCCGCAGGACACGGTAGGACAGTGGAGGAGTGTGCAAGGACTGGGCCCCCTGAGGGGTCAGCCAGGGAGACCGCAACAGGCCGACTGAGCGGCGTGAGCGTGGTGCTGTCTCTAAAGAAAGAGCGCGAAGCACCAGAGTCAAGTGTGAAAGTGTGCAAGACCGCGGCAGGCGCAGCACCAGAGAGAGCAGACTCACCAGTACCTGGGGCAGTAGACTCACCAGCGCCTAGAGCAGCAGCCTCACCAGCACGTGGAGCAGGAGACGTACAAGCACCTAGAGCAGCAGCCTCACCAGCACCTAGAGCAGGAGACGTACAAGCACCTAGAGCAGCAGCCTCACCAGCACCTAGAGCAGCAGACTGGATACCGGGGTCAGGCGGCAGACATACGTGACAGGCACCCTCAGCACTAGTAGACAATGCGGGGCCGTGTAAGGGGCCGCGACGGGCCTAGAAGGGGCCGCGACGGGCCGTGAAAGGGTCGCCACGGGCCGCAAGGGGGGGGGGGCGCTACGGGCCACGAAGGGGCCACTACGGGCGCAAAGGGGCCTCTACGGGCCGTGAGGGAGGGGCCGCTACGGGCCGCAAAGGTCAGGCGCGACGCGCGCGTCGGGCAGGTAAGGAAAACAAAAAAAAAACGTTTTAGTGGTGGGCCCTTAGGAAAAACTCGCTCTATACCATGTGAGAATAATAGGAATGAATGAGAGAACTAGAAAGCAGAAGGGTACAAGTAGAAAACACAAAAGTGTTGTACCCTCTAAGGACTACCCCACTACATCCTAAACAGACTATAGTAGATATAAGTTTGACACAAAAAGTAGCGCTCGCGGCTCTGACCACTGACGCGGGCTGGGCCCCACACGTCCATGTGTAGAGTCTGCAGGGGAGCAGTCGTCGGGGGAAACGAGGAGGAGTGAGGAGCGGCGCGCTGCCGCCCCTCGACGCAAGGGAGGCAGGGCGGGGCAGGCGAGGGCGGCAGGGGAGGCAGAGACCTGGGTAGACCAGAGACAAGAAGACGAGAGTGCATGCCACGAATACGTGGCAGGGAGGGGTGACCCAGGCGGTGGTGCCACAGAAGAGTCTGGTGCGACAGGAGGCGGTACGAGCAAGAGGCAGCTACCTGACCTGACGCGGACACGTGAGCTGACGCAGCTACCTGAGAAGGCTCGGTAGCGAGGGTGTACAGACTCGACCCTGGCCGACGAGTGAACGTGGCCAGGTGACGGCCCGTCCGTGTGCACGTGCAGATCGACATACGCTGACCCCCAGGAGTGGTGGTAGTGACCATCGCATCCTGGAGGGCAGCGGTACTCACCAGGTTCGTAGAGAACGAGGGGAGGTGAAGACCAGACAGTGAGCCGGACGGAACCGCCGGACACGGGAGGACAGTGGAGGAACGGGCCACGACTGGGCCCCCAGAGGGGTCAGCCAGTCAGACCGGGACCGGTGTAGAGAGAGGAGTGAGAGTGGTGCTGTCACGAAAGAAACAAGCAGAAGCGCCCGAATCCAGCGTGAAGGTGTGCAAGGCCTAAGCAGGCGCAGTACCAGGGAGAGTACCAAACTCACTAGCACCTAGAGCAGCAGCAGCTATACCTGGGTCAGGCGGCACACACCGGTAACAGTCACCCTCAGCACTAACAGACAAAGCATACATAGCAGAAAGAATAGCATCAAAGTCTAAGTCAAAGATAGCAATCCTAGACTTAAGCAGATCTGCCCAGCGAGGGAGCTCGACGTCATCACCAAACTCAGCACGCCAAGCGTCGTCGAGGCGAGAGAAACAGCGGTGCTGAGTGTGGAGCCGCCCGCAAGTCTGACCAGCACGGTCACCCGTGCGAATGACATACGGGCAACTACCCCCAGACGCCCCACGCAGAAACCAGTCACGAAGCTGCTGGGGAGACTGGGTCTCGCTCCGACGCTGCTGCTGCTAACGCTGGCCACCCCCAGAACCGACAAACCGAGCGCCAGTCCCACCGCCACCAGTCCCACCGCCTCCACTGCCGCCACTCCCACCGCTGCCTCCACTACCGCCACCAGAGCCCCCACTCCCACCACCACTCCCACCGCCGCCACCACCTCCACTGCTGCCCCCACCACCACTCCCGCTGCCACCTCCACCACCGCCGCTGCCACCACTACCACCCCGGCCACCCTTGCCCTTGCTGCTGCGGCGCTTTGCACTAGCAGAAGCAGCCCCGACGTCCTCAGCAATAGAGACGTCTACAGCAGCATCAGAGGCGTAGGAGGGGGCAAGGGGGGAGGGGGAACACCCCTCGAAGAAGGGCGGGCGCGGAGTGCCACGAGCAGCACCTACAGCAACTGCACTAGTCTCATCTGCGAGGAGATGCTGCGCGAGGAGGTCAACAGTGAGGGAGGTGGGGTCAAGAGAGAGGAAGTGGTCCCTGACAGAGCGAAGAGAGTCAGGGAGGCGGGTGACTATAAAGTAGAGAGTGATGAACATCGGAGGCGGGTTCCTGTCAAGGAACTCAGCAGGAACGGCAGCGCGGTAGCGAGCGTCACTAGCGCGAAGGTGGGAAACCAGGTCCTCGACTGTGGCAAAGGCGGACAGCTTGGGGAACAGGTAGGGCAGGAGGAGGCGGCCTAGAGAAGCAGTGGCAGGGGAGGAGTAGCGGGCGACTACAGCGTCGTACAGTGCCTGTGCTGTCCTGTGCTGTCCGAAGTGAGCGCACTCAGCTAATGGCAGGTGGTTGCGAATGGCTAAGCGGGCAACAGCATCGCGAGTAAGCCACTGTGAGCGAGTCGAACTGTCAGCTGTGGCGGGAGGGGCAGTAGCAGCTCCTGACATTAGGTCAAACAGTGAGACACTGTCCTTAGAATCGCTCAGTAGGTACAGCTGCAGGTCGTCAAGCCACGTGTCAAACTGAACTGGTCTACCCTCATGATCAAACGCAAGAACACGAAGTGAAGCCATAGCTGTGCAGTACGTAGGAGTAGCAGTAGCAGCTGTAGCAGTAGCTGTAGCAGCTGTAGCAGGAGCAGCAGTGACAGTGGAGCTAAGAGGCCGACGGGGCCAGGCGCGAGCTAGGAAAGAGGCCGGGCGAGGGGCTAAGGGACGGGGCCGGGCACAGGGCTAGGTACGGGGCCGGGCGTGGGCTATGTACGGGGCCGGGCACGGGCTAGGTACGGGGCCGGGCGCTGGGCTAGGAACGGGGCCGGGTGCTGGTCAGGTACGGGGCCGGGCGTCGGTCTAGGTACGGGGCCGCGTGAAGGGCAGGTACGGGGCCGGGCTCGGGCTAGGTACGGGGCCGGGCGCTGGGCAAGGGACGGGGCCGGGCGCTGGGCAGGTACGGGGCCGGGCGCTGTGCAGGTACGGGGCCGGGCGCTGGGCAGGTACGGGGCCGGGCGCTATACAGGGCCGGGCGCGAGGCTAGGTACGGGGCCGGGCGCGGGCTAAGTACGGGGCCGGGCGCAGGCTAGGTACGGGGGCGGGCGTTGGGCGCGATACGGGGCCGGGCGCGAGACGAGGTACGGGGCCGGGCGCGGGCTAGGTACTGGGCCGGGCGTGGGCTAGGTACGGGGCCGGGCGCGGGCGCTGAACGGAGGCCGGGCGCGAGGCTAGGTGCGGGGCCGGGCGCTACACGGGGCCGGGCGCGATACGGGGCCAGGCGCGAAATGGGGACGGGCACGATATGGGGCCAGGTGCGAAAACGGGGCCAGGCGCGACATGGGGCCGGGCGCGAAATGGGGCCGGGCGCGAAATGGGGCCGGGCGCGAAATGGGGCCGGGCACGAAATGGGGCCGGGCGCGATACGGGGCCGGGCGCGATACGGGGCTGGGCACGATACGGGGCCGGGCGCTATACGGGGCCGGGCACTATACGGAGCCGGGCGCGAGGATAGGTACGGGGCCGGGCGAGGGCTAGGTACGAGGCCGGGCGCGGGGCTAAGGGCCGACGGGGCCGGGCGTGGGCTAAGGACGGGCCGGGCGCGGGCTAGGGGTCGACGGGTCGCGTAGGGGCGGTTACTAGCAGCGTAGCAGGTGGTGGGCCCAAGGAACCTGCTCTGATTCCATGTCAAACTAATGAACGAGAATGGATGAACTATGAAAGAGTTGGGTACAAGTACTAACCCTAGGTGGGTTGTACCCCTTGTGGGCTACCCCACTACAGCCTACACAAATGTATAAGCTATAATGTTCTGACATTGGTCGCAGGTTGTTTAAGGCTTAGGTTCTAGGATTGTTGTAGATACTTTACCTTTAGTTATTTCATTAGATTGCATCCATTCTTCTACTATTCATCGTCTCTTTCCTGTGTTGCATGCTTACAACCTCGTATTTGCATATTTCATTTACGTTTTTACTTCCTTTCATTTTATGTTATTGTTAGGTCGATTTGAACGCTAACCTTCTTTGCCTTGATAGCCAGATTGATTTAAACCATTTCGAACCGAGCTGCATGTCGTTCTCTCGCTCTCTCTCGTTCTATCTCTCTCGTTCTCTCAATCTCTCTCTTTCATTCTCGTTCTATCTCTCTCGTTCTCTCGTTCTCTCGTTCTCTCTCTCTCTCTCTCTCTCTCTCTCTCTCTCTCTCTCTCTCTCTCTCTCGTTCTCGTTCTATCTCTCGCGTTCTCTCTCTATCGTTCTCGTTCTCTCTCTCGTTCTCGTTCTCTCTCTCTCTCTCTCTCTCTCTCTCGTTCTCTCTCTCGTTCTCTCTCTCTCTCTCTCGTTCTCTCTCTCTCTTTCTCTCTCTCTCGTTCGCTCTCTCTCTCTCATTCTCTCTCTCTCGTTCTCTCCTTCTCGTTCTCTCTCTCTCGTTCTCTTTCTCTCGTTCTCTTTCTCTCGTTCTCTCTCTCTCTCTCTCTCTCTCTCTCTCTCTCTCTCTCTCTCTCGTTCTCTCTCTCTCGTTCCCTCTCTCTCGTTCTCTCTCTCTCGTTCTCTCTCTCTCTCTAGTTCTCTCCCTCTCTGGTTCTCTCTCTCTCGTTCATTCTCTCTCTCTCTCTCTCATTCTCTCTTTATAGTTCTCTCCCTCTCTCGTTCTCTCTCTCTTGTTCATTCTCTCTCTGGTCCGTTCTTTCTCGTTCGTTCTCTCTCGTTCGTCCTCTCTCTCTCGTCCTCTCTCTCACGCTCTCGCTCCCCGTTGTTCTCGCTCTCCGTATTTCGTTATATTCTCTTCTTTCGTTTATTGTCTCGTTATGTGTTTTTCCCTGTGTTCCTGTTCCTTACTTTTGTTTGATGCCTTGGTACGTTCTTCTCATTGCTATTTGTCAGCACTAACCCTTCAATACTCACTGCGTTTTTTTTTGCCCTTGTATTGTTTCATTCGTTTCTTTGTTATTCCTTTTTCTCGTCATTTCATCACACCTCATACCCTTTTTTGTTTTTTTTTTACTGACTATTTCTTTCCGATCCTCCTTTCCACTACCTAAACCCCTTTCTCAGGAGCCTTGCTGGTCAGGAATGCGATTTCAATCTGGAAAATGTGTATTGGTCACTGATTGGGATTTATCATATTGTCCTTTTAACGTTGATTTGCATGTTATTTATTATCGCGCGTCTTTTGCTGGTTTGCCGGTGTTCGTGCTTTTGATTGTGTGAATGTGTTTGCTTGTGTGAGTAACTATATTTGGTGTATGTGTTTGTAAGTATGTGTGTGTATACATATACGTACGTATGTGAGTCAGTATATATGTATGTACGTATGTATGTGTGTATTTGCATGTGTATGTATGTGTAAATCTATACATTGCAATAACAATGCATGTCTGTGATTTTTAACAAAAAGGCTCAAGCCTATCATTTCACAAAAGGTTCATTGGCGCACTCAGTGACTCGTGTGCGACCACTTCGAACTGGATTTGATAGGGTTGACATTTTTTTTAAGACTTCACAGATTGTGTTGTTTCATGTGATGTGACAGTTGATTATTCAAAATCTTTGCTATTGACCTCCCCCCCCATGCTAGGCAGGGGATGGCGGTAGCTTAGTTTGTTAGAATCATAGGCAAAAGTGGTAGTTAGGTTTGAGTGAGGGCCTAGGCTTAGTAGCCTAGGCCAAGGGAGTTGAGGTGGTTTGTGCCAAGGAGAGAGGGTCGAGAATGAGAAGAGGATGATGTTCACTATAGCACTAGGGTACATATAGCAAACAAAGGATGCAAAGAAGGTGCACCACCAACAAGTTTATAATAACTACACTAACTACAGCTACAGGCAGTTACAGATATATTCTAACATAGTTTTTGGGTCGTTAACTGTTGCGCATTTTATTATGTGCATGTATGTGCATCATGATTCATGGCATTATATTAAATATTATGCATCCTATTGCATTACTTATGCATTATGCATCTATTTATCATTACCACAACATCATAGTTAAACATACTAATACAAACAGTATAGCATATCTGCACAAAACCATGGTTTAATATACTGTGAACAGTATTCAAAACTACTCAACAGTTTGGGAAGGGTACTGTAGTTTACGAAATTTATTTTCATATTTTATTAAACAATATGAAAATAAATATGAAAATAAAATTTGGCAAAATCGATCTTAAAGGGTTGCTTAGCAACCCAAAAAAAAACATACTTTTACCGAATCATACCCCACTTGGAAATGGGGCAATTCCCACATTTCCTCCTCAAACGAGTCTTTTCCACCATCACACAACCAGCAGATCATTAGAAACTACTGTGTTTCGTCGTGCGATGTCGTTATGAGAATTCGACGGGGCAGGAAAAGAAGACGAGAAGGATAGCCTTGGCGTCGCGATGCAATCGCGGGACGCGAATCTTCCCGTCTACCGGCGAGTATTCGGCTCCGCATTTCTCCAGCCGGCAGCGCAGCAGCAGCACGGCGTGGAGTGGCAGTCGCGGTTGCGCCACGTGTACTTAGTGGGCGTCATAGTCGACGTGGATAAGCTCCCCTTTAAATTCGTCCGATTCGCCTTAGATGACGGCAGCATGACCGCCGCCAGCTGCGCTCACCCCGCCCCTTCAACCGCCCTGTTTCCCGACCCGTCCCCCGCACCGTTCCCCGCCCCGTCGCCCGCCCCCCCGCGCACCGCCTCCGCCCGTGTCTCTGCCCCTTCGGCTATCGCGACACCCCCAGCGCGACTTGCGGGCGCGTTACCAGTCGCCGCACCGCAACTGTCCACCGTCTGTGCCACGCGGCCTGTGCGCGCAGTGCCATGTGTGCTGTGGCTCAACAGTCGCGATCACGCAGAGCGCCACGTGGCGATGCTGCAGGCAGCCACGTGTGTCCACGTGGGCGCGCTGGTGGGCGTGCGGGGGAGAGTGATGGTGTTCAATGGACGGAGGCAGGTAAGTGACGGATGAAATTTGGGTTTTGAACATGCGCAGAAAGTTTGGGGTAATCGCGGCATGGGTAGGAGACGGGTGAGAGCGGGGAGATCCTGGCCGAAGCAGCGGGTTCATGTGGAAATATGTAGGAAATATGGGTGTTCGATTTTGGATGTGAGTAATAGCAGTGCATCTTTCATTGTGTCTGTAGTTCTATGTAGGATGACTCACGCACGCATTTGATGGTGCAGGTGACAGTGGACGCGGTGTGCGCGATATCAGATCCAAACGAGGAAATATTGCACTGGCTGGATTGTCTCGAAATTACACATCGGAGGTGATACAATAATTGCCCTTCATGCAGAGATATACTTTACATGTACATTATCAGCAGCTTCCACATGTCTAGCGTGACCAAGCCAATAAAAAGATCAGCATTTGCAATTTAGCATACAGCACATGCTTTATCCGTATTATCCTACAGACATACGAGCAGCCAAACAATATTACAATGGGCATCCAGCCCTCAATGCCACCTCAGTTATGGCTTAGGGAAGAAGAACGATAGGAAAACAAGCGAGCAACCCAATACCGAGGACGACAAGCCTCGCGAAAAGCTTAGTTGGAAGCGGAGCTCTCAGGCATGGCACGGTGATACGCTGCCATCGCGCAGTCCACACCGAGGACAGACGCAGCCTCGTACGCGCGGGGAGTTCCATCCAGGAATCCCGCGCCGAGCACCCCGTCAGCAGAGACCGGGCGATGGAGCGACGACACGAGCTGCTGGAAATCAATCGCACGGTCGACATGGTCCTCCCTGTAAGTCTGGCCCAGCACGCCGTGAACGTTCTCAGTGTAGTCGAAAGATGTAACGGCCACATTGATGTGAACCTCGGCGTCGCTGGGGGTCTGGAGTTTCGGGTGAGCCACACGCAGGCGGATGTCGAACGAGATGATACCGACGATTGAAACGGTGTAGTAGTCCACGTCGTACGGGCCCTGCTTCTCGTACGCACGGAGGGCGACCGTGAGGCCACCGTCGCCGTTGAATTCCTCGCCGAGCGCCAGCCGTTGGATCACGGTACCGTCAACCTCAATGGCCTTCATGTAACCAGCGCCGCGCTCCTGCTCCTTGCCGTTGCGGGCAACCAAACGGAGACGGTGGTCGGCACCGTTGGCAAACCACACAATACCGAGCTCCCTGAAATATCACACGAGGAAACAGGGTTTAGAAACTGGTCGACTAACCACTTCAGAAAAAAAAAAAAAAAAAAAAAAAAAAAAAACTGGATTTGTGCAAAAAGAGGCGACAGCGCTGCTTACTTGATCCAAGTGTGAACGGCCTTTCCATCGACAACAAGAGCCGCGCCCTCGGTACTGTCGTCGTAGTATCCCCTCAGAAGCATGTTCACATGCACATTCTTATCCGTCAGGAGGCAGAAAGCCTTGTCGGGACGGCCGTTGAAGTCGAAGTGCGTGCCGTGCGCGCCGGTGAAATGCGGGTCGTCGATGACCTCGGGGTTGTCATTGCACCTGCCGCCGGCGCGCACCTGCGTGTACATAGGCGTGTCCTTGCCCTCGTAAATAGCTGCCAGGTCGCCGCATTCGAATTTCTGCTCGCCGGCCATCAGATCGCAAGTCCCCATCCTGCGCTCAAAAAAACATTTTAAGGAAAACGAAAAATTATTCATCTGAGCAGAACAACAAAATCTCCAGCACGAATCAAGTACCATGTACCAGTTAAAAACTAATGTAACATGTCGGATGCTTACTCTCTGCCGGTACCGGGGACGAACTGCCAGTAGGTGCAGTCGTGGCTCGCGGCGCACTGGTTGCAGCACGACTCGGGGGTAGCCTTCTTCTTGGAAAACCCGCCGTTCGGAAGGATGGTCGCCCAGTGCTTCCCCTTCATCGTGGTAATGATCGACGACTTGAACTTGGCGGGCCAGCCGCCCTTGGAGCAGTTCACGGCGGTGCACCCGCCCCAGTCCTTTTTAGCCAGGTTGTTCGGGCACTGCTTCGCATTCCACGACAAGCCTTTGATCCTAACCTCGCCCGCATCAGAGGTGCTTAATGAATCCGTGTTGCTCGTCAGGTCGGCGCCCTTGGCGGAGGAAGCACCGACCTTCTTGGGTGCCGTCGTCACCGGCTTCTTCGATCCGCCTTTCTTGGAACCGCCCTTCTTCGCGCCTACTTTGACCGCGCCTCCTGTCTTCACGCCTACTTTGACCTCGCCTCCTGCCTTCACGCCTCCTTTGATCTCGCCTCCTGCCTTCACGCCTCCTTTGACCACGCCGCCCTTTTTGTCCTTGTTGCCCTTCTTGCTCAGCGTGCTCACCCTGCCCGCCTCTGCGCAGATGATTACGGCAAGGAACAGCAGCGCAAAGAACGCGACGCTAAGACGCGCCATGGCGGCGGTGATGCTAACGAGCGAAACTGGAGAGGGAGAGTAACTCGACTTCCTGCTCTACTCTGAATCCTGTGGGCTTCACTGCTACTATCTGCTTTCTGCCTGCTCTTCTCAAATTACTGAGGGTTATGTGAGCGGTGACTCCTAGCTTATGATGCAAACCTGCTATGTTTTGATCCAAGATCTGTTGGTAAACTTCAGGTGCTTTGGTCTTGGTTTTGAAGAGGGGTGTTGGCGTGTGGGTGTTCGAGCCAAGCAGAGTTGCCATTGGTTGCAACATGCCCAAACATTTGTTGCCCGTATCAGAACATGGTCTCAGTTGGAAGTGGTGATACGGAGTGTAACAGCAGTCACACATCCCTTCAGCCTGGCAAAGACTGACGCGCCGCAGAGAGCCAGCTTGGCCCCTGGTGGCTATTTTGCTAGTCTTGGACTTGAGGACACGAAATACTGTGAAGGTGAATTTACAGGTTGACGATTTGTGAGTTTTTGCGAAGCGCATACAGAAACACCTGCGCCCTGATGCAGCCGTGAGGTTTGGACCAATCCTGCACCTCCCTTTCCCCCAAAACTGTCTCCCTTCAAACTCCAACCAGGGTACTGCAGCGAAAAGAACGAACCGCAGGGAAAAAATGTGCTCAATTTTGACCCCAAAACTGTGGGGCATGGCATGGACCCGGCTCTTCGTTTGAGCTACTCTTGATTGTGTATATACTTCTCAAAAACAAAAAAGACAACACTTTCCCTGGTAAGATGCTTGAAGGCTCATAAATGATGATGCTACCATGGCTGAATTGAATCATCTTTTGACATAATAATGTCAAAAGGGGCAAATAACTGGCCTGCCATTTGATGTGAGGGGTTTTCTTTTCTGCACAGAAGAATACCGTGCTTTCAAATTCCGTATCAAACGCTCTAATCTGCGTGCATCTATTAAAAAAAAATGAACTTTCATAATGTGCTATGTTACGAATAGTAAAATATGAAGTATTACCGTGCACTCCTAACCGCAGCAATCGAAGCACCCAACACCGGGGCTGAAGACGAAAAGGCAGAAGTGACGCGAAGGGTCGTACGGTTATGAAATGATCTAGACCGTCGGGCAGACAGCATCAGGCATAAGAAGTGGCGAGGATTTTGCCCAGGCAGTTCGTATCCATCTGGAGTCGCACGGTTGATTTTCGCTGTAACAAGGGAATGTACCCTTTAGAGTACATGGCTAGCTATATCGTTTCGTATTCTACTCCGTACTCTTATTCATACATTATATTTGCATATTTTTAATCATCTGAAACATTTTACATTCACTTTGTTTTGAGGTAAAGGGCCCACCACTACCAATCAACAGTGTGCGAACCTTCCTGAGGTGATCCTAAGGTCGATCAACTCTTGATTGTAACATGGTACGAGAGCGACTCGGGAATCCTTCGCACTCCCACCTCCGAAATCTTCGACGATCGGAAAGTGGCGTCCGGCACATGCTCGCGTGTGAGAATGGCCGGAGGATCTGGTGGTCAGACGAATCTGACGGCTTAAGCGCAGCCCAACCTAGCTGCGACAAGCGAGGAAACGACGACGATTGGAACCACCGTCCTTGCACAACTGCTTTAGCGACTCACCAGCTTGTCGACGCGGGAACATCTTCCCAACCCTCTGAACTGGCCTCGAATGGCCAGAACACCGCCCCGCACACCTTCTCCCTCGACACAAATGGCTGAACACCCAATACTCTCCGTCCCAGCGAAGAAGCAATTCTCTCTGCACAATCAAAGTTTCTAGGTATATAAAAAATAAAGAGAAGTGTCTGTTTTGACAGCAGTGACTTTTATACGTGGAGCTTCGAGCTGGAGCTGCTGCTGCAAAAAGCAAAGACATTCCACTATTTCGACGGGAGCTACGCGGAACCCGCTGAAAACAAAGCTGACGCTAGGACGCGCTATTACAACGAGTCATTGATGGCGTACGGCGTTCTTCTGCGAAACATGTCGCCGGCGGAGTAGTTGAGCATTCGATAGTACAAGACATCCCCTGCTCCAGCCCTCGATGCTTGGCACCACTTGAATGGTGTGTACCAACCAAAAGATTCGGTGTCTTCGAGCCGCCTACTCCAGCAGCTACTGGAGACAAAAATGGCCCCATGGGAGAAGGCCAACAACTACATCAATCGCTGTAGGAGCTTACGCGATCAAATCACGAAATTGGGGAGCACGATTTCGGAGATCTTTTTGAATCTCGTCCTCCAAGGGCTCGGCCCAGAGTGGTGGCCCTGCAAGGCGCTTCTCCGACAGCAGGGAGTCATCTTGGAGGCTGCCTTATGCGCCGCCCAACTCGTCGAACAGAGAGACATGGACCAGCAGCGAACAGCGCCGCGACGAGATTGGGAACGACTCGCCTTCTATGCAGACAATATCAGAATGTTATATTTCTCTAGTCTGCAGTGGGGTGCTCTATAGTGAGTACAGCCCTGTTAGGGTTTGCTATATGTATCCCAATGTTTGCTAGTGAAACCCCTCTTCTCTGTTTCCATTCCGTTCTTCACTATTCTGACATGTTATCAGAGCGAAGGTCTCGGGTTCGAATCCCAGTGTGTGCACTTCGGGCATCCCAGTGCGGGGGGGTGTCAGAGGTCCACTGGTGATCCCCGATTGATCCTAGGGAAGGGTTACAGGCTCGTTGTCCTGGGGGGTTATGGGCGCACTGACCCGCTACTTAAGAAGCCCTTTTATCCCAATGGTCTAGTGGTTGGGATTCTGACATAGTATCAGAGCAGGTCGACCCTCCCGGGTCGATCCTGTGGATGGGCCCACCGTTAGATTCCGCTACTGTCCTGCCTATCGCATGCCTCGGGCGCGCGACGTTTTCTGCCTGCCGCGCGCTCGTGGCGCGCGGCGTTTTTTCTTCCCGCCGCGCGCCCTGCCCGTCGCGCGCCCC